CCTGGCATAGGGTTAATTGCAAGAGAATGTGTGGATTGTGAGGTGATTGTGGTTCCTCACATCAATGACCAGGGATGGCACGGCCCCTGGGTAAGTGATGCTACAGGGAGGGCATGACCCTGGCGTGGTGTGAGATGAGTGAGGCAATTAACCCGTATCACTTATGTCAGTTGTGGCGTGGCCTTGACATAGTGTTAATTGTAAGATTTGTGTGGATTATGATGGATTGATGTAATTGAGATGTGAAGATGATGAATGATTGATAAATTATGATATATATATAAATACTTGTGAATATTTCATTAAATAATGAGTTATGATTATGTTGTGTTTTTCCTTATGTGCTTTCCATATAGATGTTTTCTTTTCCCACCGTATAATTTGTGGATGTTTTAGGTGAGGAAGATCCGGCTTTGAGTGGCATCTAGAATGTCAACAGTTAATTTATGGGTATGCTCTGATATTGTGACATCGGGGCAGAGGATTTCTAGGACATGAATTGTATTTGTATATGGAATTGAACCTATTATTTTGAAAATATTTTGTAACTTCTTATGTTTTATTTTCCAACTTTCATTTTCAGACTATTTTAGATATTGAAGAATGTTTCTAAAGATTTTTATGTGAACCCTTTTACCTATGTGGAAAAATTTATTTCCTTAGTTTATTTATATTATTACAATATATGTGTTGGGGTAGTATGGGTGTCACAGATATAACCTATTAAAATATTATGACAACTGTTTAGCCAATTTTTTTTGTTTAATGTATAACCAGATAAAAATAAAAAATTTTAAATACAAGAATTTTAAATTATTTTAGCAAACAAAAAATTTAACACATTTATAAGTAAAATGTCATTTTAAAATTGAAATTTTATTTAAATTTTTATTTTATTTTTGTAAAGCCATAAAATTGATAGTAAGATTTGCTGTAACAAATATTAAGAGACTTGTTCATATTAGTAAAATTAGTTGGCAATAATGTCAAAATTATTTTTCATGTTAAATTAAATAAAGTAAATAAAATAATTATTTTATTTAAATAATATAACTTATAAATGAAAATTTTATTTATTTATTTTTAAATGATAGAAATTTAAATTTTTTATTCAAATATAAAATTTTTAAAAAGAAGAAATTTGATTATTTTTATCAAAATTGGAAATTTTAGAAATGAAGAAATTTAATTGTTTATCCAAACATAAAATTTTGAAAATGAAGGATTCGTTCAAACAATAACTTTTTAAAAAAGTAAAAATTACAATTAAAGTAATTGAATTTCTAAAATTTTAAAATTGCCTAGAATTATAAAATTTTCTATCTAAACATAACCTACGAGAAAACAACATTTAAGCTTAAATACGTTCTTAGTCATTGTAAAATAAATAAATTTTGATTTTGCTCATTTTATTCAACTGGGAAGGATTGTTGAGGAAAGGCTTCAGATGGTGCCCATTTTCTTTGAAGCTATTGTTTGTGGATTCACGTTTGATCTCAACTGTACCATAAGGAAAAATGTTAGTAACAACAAAAGGTCCAATCCACTTAGAACGTAACTTACCACCCATGAGACCAAGCCTTGAATTATATAATAAAACTTTTCGCCCAACCGTGACGTCGTTCCTAGCTATCAAGCTATCATGGAACTTCTTAGTTTTCTCCTTGTAGAACTTAGAACTCTCATAAGCTTCCAGGCGAATCTCATTAAGCTCACTCAGTTGCAACTTTCTTTCCTCTCCAGCCTGATCAATAGAGAAGTTACAGGTCTTCACAGCCCAGTAGGCTCGGTGCTCTATCTACATAGGAGATAACATGCATTTCCAAAGACAACTTGGTAAGGAGACATCCCTATGGGTGCATTGTAAGAAGTCCTATACGCCCAGAGAGCATACTCCAGCCTGCTACTCCAATCTTTCCTGTTGGGCTGCACAATCTTCTCCAAGATCCTTTTGATCTCCTTGTTTGAAATCTCGGCCTGCCCATTAGTTTGGGGGTGGTAGGGTGTAGAGATTCTATGAACAAAATTCTGTGCACTACCCCATACTTCTTGAGCAAAGCCTGCATGGATCTGTTACAAAAATGGGTGCCTTGATCACTAACAATAGCTCTGGGTACTCCAAACCTGCAAAATATGTTAGATTAGACAAAATCCACAACAACCCGAGCATCATTAGTTCTGGTGGCTTTGGCCTCCACCCATTTTGAAACATAATCAACAACTAGGAGAATATATGAAAAACAAAAAGAAACAGGAAAAAGACCCATGAAATCTATACCCTAGACATGAAAGACCTCACAGAACAACATGGGTTGTTGAGGCATCTGCTTCTCCAAGAAAAGGCTCCTCCTACTCTTTGACACTGCTCACAAGTGCTATGAAACTTCCACGCATCTCTGAAGATGGTGGGCCAAAAAAAACCACAGTCAAGCACCTTGCGAGCTATCCTCTGAAAACCAAGATGACCACCAGGTGCAGAAGAGTGACAGAAGTGCAGGACCGAATCAATCTCATGGTCTTGAATGCATCCTTGATTAACTGATCACTACATAACTTCAACAAATAGGGGTCATCCCAAAAATAATGTTTAGCATCGCTCTTAAGTTTATCAATTTGAGCTCTAGATGCTAAAGGAGGAAAAACAGAAGCAACTAAATAATTCACAATGTTTGCAAACCAAGGGGTGGGGGAAGGAATATAAATATTTAACAAGTGTTCATCAGGGAAATCATCATGAATGGGCAAAATCTTCTCATCCTCAGCTCTCTCAATCCTGTTGAGATGGTATGCCACCAAGTTCTGTGCTCCGCTCCTGTCACGGATGTCTAAGTCAAACTCTTGAAGCCAAAGCATCCGTCTGATTAGCCTAAGCTTTGAATCAGCCTTCTTCAACAGGTACTTTAGAGCTGCATGATCTGTAAAAATAATAACACGAGAACCAAGCAAATATGACCGAAATTTATCAAGTGCAAAAACAATAGCTAAAAGTTTTTTTTTCGTGGTCGTGTAATTTGCTTAAGCAACATCTAATATCTTGGAAGCATAATATATAACCTTGGGCAATTTATCAACCCTCTGTGCTAAGACAACCCCTAGTGCATAATTTGAAGTATCGCACATCAGCTCAAAGGAAACTGTCCAGTCTGGTGCCTGAATGATAGGAGTGGTGGTCAAGGCTATCTTGAGGTAGTCAAACGCCTCCTTACACCTGTCATCAAAATTAAACTCAATATCCTTCTGCAACAAGCTGGATAGTGAAAGGGCTTTCTTGCTAAAGTCCTTAATGAAGCGCTTGTAGAAACCTACATGGCCAAGAAAAGATCGCACCTCTCGCACACAAGGGGGGTAAGGCAATTGTGCAATTATAGATATTTTTTCAGGGTCTACCTCAATGCCTCTACTAGAAATGATATGCCCTAAAACTATACCCTACTCTACCATGAAATGACATTTCTCAAATTTAAGAACAAGGTTAGTCTCAATGCATCTATTCAGAACTTGATCCAAACTATCCAAATATGCATCAAAAGAGGATCCATAAATAGTAAAATCATTCATAAACACCTCTATGCAATTTTCAAGAAAATCACTAAAAATACTAGGCATGCACCGCTGGAATGTGCCAGGGGCCAAATCCAGAACTCAAAAGAACTTTCAAGGGTAGGTCAAAGTCCAGCAGGATTAGAACAGAGATGGACATTAGAGAACAACATAATTGTGTAAAAAAATTGTTTCTATTGTCACACCCCTGGTCAAACTAGGAAGACATATCCAAATATTGGTTATGAAAATATTGGTTATGAATTCAGTTTCCACCACTATTGATCTTTATTGTTGTAATGAATTTTAATAAATTTATTTAGTTGTATTTATAATGCTAATATTCAATAAAATTTAATCACTTGATGGTAGTCTCTGAGTTTTGGTATTTGATAAGTGAAAATAAAAAAAATGGTCTGAATCTATAGGCCAGAATGGCCCGTTCCAGATTCAAAACGGTTCGTTCTAGTTCCACTTTTTATGTGCTAATTTTGAATTTGGAACGACCCGTTCTGATCCATTCGCCATGTGTTATTTTTAATCTGGAACGGTCCGTTCTGGACGTCAACGGTAAATCGTGCTAGTAGAGGAAATAAATTTGAATAGTTGTTATTTAGGTAAATTTCTTTTAAAATAGTATTATTTGAGTAAAAAACTCTATATATGACAAGTAATAATAAGTTTCTAAAAGACTGTTATAATATATTATTAAATATAAATTAAAATATTATATATTATTAATTTACATATTTACCCTCATATCTTCCCGATCAATCTTCACCACCAGAGTTAGCAGCACGTGGGAATCGAGGCTAATAATAGCGTGAAGATTGTTTATTAAAGAAAATATATAAGATTCTTTACTAAGATTGTCTAACAAAGAAAAAAATAGATGAGAAATAAAATAGAAGCTTATTTTTTATTAATAATTTTATTTTTAAATAATATTTAAAATTATTTTATTAGAAGTTTAATATTTTATAAATAGTTATTCAGAAATAATAAATAGGAATTATTTTTATTATTATTATATTTTTTTATTTATTTTATTATTATTATTGGGTTTTCTTTTTATA